CAGAAACTTCCATCATTTTTTCCAGAGACAAGTTGCCATTCTCTCACTGAGGCATAATGTAGGATATAATCATCAGTGGAATGAATAATTAAAGAGAGGTAAAGGTGGTTTTTATTTGATGTCAAAGTAACCAATCACTGTTATCTCTTTAATTAAACAGTTGATTGATCACTGGGCATTGACAAAGGGGATTAATCAAATTAATTATTTGATTTACTTGATAGCTGCTTAACTAATGGGTTAGATAATCTATTGGGCAGTGACACGCATGCCCAGTTATATAGAAATATTAAAATACTTCAGTAAAATATTTCTTGAGTAAAAGACATATTTTTTTCCTTAAGAAAAGACAGTAATATCTCACATTGTACATATGTGCTATTATCTAGAGTAGCTGGAGAAGCTGGACCCTATGCTGCTTGCTAGTACTACAATCCTAATACCAGAGCAATCAAAACTCAAAAAATGATAGAGGAATCAGGAATGTATGTTCAGGTACTAAACAATATCTCAAGAAATTAGAGAACTTTAGAAATATTCAAATATAATTTATTTTTTAAACACTCCTGGGAAGTATAGCAGATATATATATATATTTTTTCAATTCACTTGAAAGTTTTGTTTTCATACTAACTAGTGTACTGTCTTTATTTTCAATTGGCCAAAAATCTTGTGATTTCCACATTTTTCCAGAAAAGTAATTTTTCTTAAATAAATATTTACAAGAATCTTATATACATTTTTGCAAATTATTTGTTTTATTTTGATTAAAAATGTTCTTTCATAAACTGGAGAACTTTCTCCCAAAGTAATCTATCACTCTAGCATCCAAAAATGCAAGGAGGTTCTTGGTAAAAATGCAGAATCCCTTGCTTCTTCTGTAGGTATTGAATCAAAGCATGTATGGGCAGACCACAGGACTCTCCATTTGAGCCACTATACCCCAATGATGGTTGTTGCACACAGTGAAATTAAAGAACCACTGATATAAAGAATCATTTTCCTTTTTGATATAGTCTCCCACCTAGCTTTTCACTATGGAAGTAGATTGTCCAACCTTCCTTCTGAGGAGTGGCTGGTGGGTTTGAACCGCCAGCTTTCTGGTTAGCAGTCAAGTGCCTTAGGCACTATGCTACCAGAG